CATGCGTGTGTGTGTGTGTGTGTGTGTGTGTGTTTTCTGATACGTGAAGCATGTCTGAAGAGTTGTGGATACGAGAGCATGACCACTACCACGCATAGAAGCCTTGATTCGTAAGCAAGCACAAGCAAGTACACACTCAGCCCTCATGGCCACTCCCCGTGTTCATGCGCCCATCATGCATATGTATGTTTCTGCTGTTTAGGTTGCGCTGCAAGAGGAATTCACGCAGTTGGGCCTAATGCCGCTCATCGAGGTAACGTGATGCTGTTTGTTTGTTTGTTTGTTTGTTTGTTTGTTTGTTTGTTTGTTTGTTTGTTTGTTTGTTTGTTTGTTTGTTTGTTTGTTTGTTTGTTTGTTTGTTTGCTTGTTGCGAACATACCACTCACAAGATTACGCACACCTGCTGTGTGTACTGGTATCTGTGTGTGTGTGTGTCTGTCTGTCTGTCTGTCTGTCTGTCTGTCTGTCTGTCTGTCTGTCTGTCTGTATTTGGGCGTGCAGGAGCTGTCCAAGTCTGCACCGCCCGCCCTCAAGGAGCAGATGGACGCATACCAGGACAACTTCCTGAACGTCGCAGAACTGGTGCGCTCGCCACACACACATGTACACACATGTACACACACACACACACACGCATGCATGCCTGGATGCACAAACACATGGATACGTAGACACACATGGACACACATGGACACCTGTTAATGTGCCTCCACAAACACAACCACGCAACACGTGCATCATCAACCACTTGGCACACATACGCACATGCTCGTCACTTAATGCACTCCCTTGCATCTGCACTGACATTCCAATACTTGTGTGTGTGTGTGTGCGTGTGTGTTTCAGGCGCGTGAAGCCGAGGCGCGTGTGAAGGACTTGGAGCGCATCCAGGAACTGGAGGTATTGACACGTCACTGATGATACCATCGAGTTTTGACACCAGCCAACATGCACTGTGTTTATGTTTGTGTATGTGTGTGATTACTTCCCGCCCCCCCCCCTCTTCGTTTTCTCCTCCTTGGCTTCCTATTCTTTCTCGGCCACTGCCTATTCTTGACACCGCATGCCAACGGCTTGCTTCTGCGCAGGTGTCACTGGCTGACACGAAGAAGGCGGCGGAGAAGGAAGAGGAGCGTCTCACAGGCGTTATAAGTGCGTGCACTTTCCATTCGCGTACACATGCACATGCACGCACACGCATCCATGTGCCTGCACGTGAACAGATACAAACAAGAGCGGTTTGAGCGTGGTTTTGCTGCGCTGTGTAGTCGTTGCGCGAATTGCCCGTGTCATCACAAGTGTGTGTGTGTGTGTGTGTGTGTGTGTGTGTGTGTGTGTGTGTGTGTGTGTGTGTGTGCATTCCCACTACCCTCACTCAATCCCGTCCGCTACCCCCCCCCTCCCACTCAATCCCTCCCGCACACACACACACCACCACGCACACGCACACGCACACGCACACGCACACGCACACGCACACGCACACGCACACGCACACGCACACGCACACGCACACGCACACACACGCACACACACGCCAGGCGAGCTGCACAAGGACCTTGCGGACAGCAAGTACCAGTGCGATGGGCTGCAGGAGCGGCTGCAGGAGGAGAAGGCGGCGCACGAGACGGCCGTGTCGCGCTACAGCCACGAGATATCTGTCCTCAAACACGACCTCCAGTCCACTCGCGACCAGTTCCAAGCCGCCGCCAAGGTGCTTGCACATGCTGTGTCCGCTTTGTTGCAAGCAGGCGTGTGTGTGGGGGGGGGAGTGGGTGGGTGGGTGGGTGTGTCCCTGTCTTGCGTGCTAATTCTGTTCTGTGCCCGAGAACGTTACCACACCATCTTCTTACCGCTCCGACCACCACCGCCACCATTGCCACCTGCGGGCTACTGCCCTCGCATCAGAAATTGGAGGAGGCGAATTCCGTTGCGGAGACACTTCGACGCATCGAGCGCCCGCAAGACGGTACACACATGACGATGATGGTGGTGGTCGTGGTCGTGGTCGTGGTCGTGGTGGTTCTGTCTTCATTGCTGCTGTTGCTCGCTTAAACACACGGCCCCCGCCGCACTCACGCTCGTACGTCTGCTAAACTCCACGCTGGCCTCCTTTCAACACAAACATGCACTCGTGCGTGTTTGTAGGCTCCAAAGTTGTGCTGACTCGCGACAACTTCACGTCAATGGATGAACCGCTGGCCACGGACGCGCCAACCACCGCCGCACGTACGCGCGCACATGAGACACATGATGCACACACACTCACTCACTCACTCACTCACTCACTCACTCACTCACTCACTCACCCTCGCATACGCACGTGCGTCATGCGAGGCATGCCCCCATTTGTTTCGTTCGTACACATTTGCACATCATAACTTCCCCTTTGCTTTGCTTGTTTGCTCGCCTCTGTTCAACACAGCACCACCCGATACTGCGCCTACGACTCCAGCTGTCGCCCCGCCACCGCCGCCGCCACCACCTCCACCTCCACCTCCACCTCCACCTGCACCAGCAATGCCAAGTGGGTCTTGCTGCAAGGATCCGTTCGTTGTGATGTCAAAGACGAAGCAACTTGCTTGACCTGCCCGCTTTGTATCACACACACACGCCCGACAAGCACTCACATCCATCCGTACCACATCCATGTGTTCCACGATGACTCACGCCAGCATGGCTTTGCACACTCACTCACCCACTCACTCACTCACTCACTCACTCACTCACTCACTCACTCACTCACTCACTCACTCACCCACTCACTCTCTCACTCTCTCACTCACTCACTCACACACACACACACACACACTCACTCACTCACACACACACACACACACACTCACTCACTCACACACTCACTCACTCACTCACTCACTCACTCTCTCTCTCTCTCTCACTCTCTCTCACTCTCTCTCACTCACTCACTCACACACTCACACATGCACGCACACGCACACACGCACCCATGCTCTCGCTCTCTCGTCCCAAACAGCGACTGCTGCTGGCCCGAAGAAGAGGAAGATCCAGGTATGGTGGTGTGGTGATGCATGCTCTCTTTCTATTGTCTTCCTGTATATGTGTATGTGTATGCGACGTCGCTTAGCCCTCGGCCTTTGGCAGAGTCACGCTCCTTGCTTCCCGAATTAAGTTCCATCTCAACCACCCACCCACCTTCATCAGCACCCGCACCCTCACCATTCACATGCCACTGTGCATGTGCCGCCCGTGCGTTAGGTTGACGTGAAGCTGCCGCTGCTCAACTGGTCAGCGCTTCCAGAGCACCGCATCCAGGGCACTGTCTTCCAGGACATTGACGACGAGGCAATCTTTGAGGTGCACATGTGCACATATACACGCAACACACATGCATGCGTATACGCTTGCTTGTGTGTTCATCACACATACACATGTGCAACTCACAACATGCTCACACATCAACACGTATGTTTGTCTGTGTGTGTGTGTGTGCCTATTTGTCTGTGTGTGTGTGTGTGTGTTGGCTGTCCTTCAGTCGGTCAACTTCGACTCGTTCAAAGAGGCCTTCAAGCTCCAGTCTCAGGCTACAAACAAACACAAGGCCAAGGCCAATCGCCCAGAGCAATTCCGCGACGGTGCGTGTGCACGTCTGTGCCTGTACCTGTGTCTGTCTTTATGCATGTATGTATGTATGTGTGTGTGTATGTCTGTACCGATGCGTGCCCCCTTGTGTCTTCACTCGCCTGGCCTTCCAGGCACATATCTTCCTGCTTTGTTTGTTTCCTTCCCTTCCTGCCTGCCTTGGCTTGCTGTAACGCGTGTACATTGATGATGTGCCCTGCTCTTGCACCCTCCCCTTCCCCGAACTTCTTCGCGTCTTCCAATTTGCTGCTGCCAACAGTTCGCAAGGGCCCTGACACCGTACTTGACCTCAACCGCGCCCGCAACCTCGGTAATGATGGGCAAGATGCTGGGTCCGTGTTCTTGTACACGGGCACACGTTCTCGCGGGAGCCTGGCTTTGCACCGTGCTCTCTCACACACATAGTGTCACACGCATTTGCATTCATTCACAGCTGCGAACACGAACTCACACACGCTTTCGTACTTGCTTCATGTCTTCCACTCCCACACAAACACACACACACACATACTCGCATACTCGCACACACACACACACACATGCTCACTCTTTCACATACGCACACATACTCACGCACACACTCACACACACCGCTGCCCTCCACCAGCAATTGCGCAGCGGCGGCTTGGGACGGAGGTGGACGTGATCATCAGCAACATCGAGGCCCTGAACAGCGACGCGCTGCCCGGAGACAAGGCGGAGCTGCTGCTGCACGACTTTATGCCCACGAAGGAGGAGCGTGATCTCCTGAACAAGCAGCACGACAGCGGCAAGGCCATGGCTGAGATTGACCTCTTCGTCTACAGGGTTGGCCCATCCCGTGTTGCCACCTGCACTCTGCTGCTGTGTATGCATGTGTATGCGTGTGAATGCGTGTGTATGTGTGGCTGCACGTGTTACATGTGTTTGTACACACTGGCAACGTGCCTGCGTTTGGCCAGTGTGCGCGTGTATGTGCGCCCGTCAGCTCTTACCGACACGACGAACACCACGAACACCGCCACCACCACCACCACCACCAGCTCTCGCGTGTGTCGCGTCTTCAAGAGAAACTGCAGCTGCTCGTCTACCTCGACTCGTGCCAGGAGGCCCTTGAAACTATCAAGCCGGTACGCACCCTCAAGCTTGCATTTTCCACACACACGCGCGCGCGCACACACACCCACATACACACACAAAACCACACGCACAATCACACATACACATACACAAGCACAAGCACGCAAGACGCAAGCGCAGATACGCACGACAAATCACAAACAAACAACGTGCTCGTGTGCGCTTGTTTGACCCTGACTCTGCTCTTGTGTGCATGGCCTGCGCATGTACACGCACATGCACCCTGCATGAGTGCTGAACGCTGTGCATTGTTCACGTTGCCTGTGTCATCGCAACTTCCTCATCTTTCTTCTTGTCATCGCCGTCGCCGTTTTCGTTGTTGTCATAGAACGCGGATGTCATTGTTGCTGCAAGCGAGTCATTGCTTGCAAGCAAGAAAATCAAGAAACTGCTGGAGGTTTGTGCTCACGTGTGTGTATGACCGTGCACTTGCGCTCGTTTTTGGACTTCACATGTGCGTGAGTGTGCGTGAATGTTTGCTTGTTCATGGCTCTCTAAGCGTGTGTTTGTAGCTCATGGGCGCTCTGTGCGTGCACACATTTACGTCCGTGCACATGCAGATCATTCTTGCCTTTGGCAACTACCTCAACAGCCAGCGCCGTGGCTGTGCCTACGGCTTCAAACTCAGCGCATTTGACCGCGTACGCAACAGCTTGCCGTATCAGCACAACCACATGCTTACTTGTTTGTTTGTTCGTTCGTTTGTTTGTTTGTTCGTTCGTTCGTTTGACTGTCTGTTTGTCAGTGTGTGTGTGTGTATGTGTGTATGTGTGCGTGTCTCTTGCTCTCTCTTGGCAGTCGGACACTGCTCTCGTCTGTCATCACGCGTACTCGCGTGGAAATCTCCCCTGCGCCCGCTCACATGTGCCTCCCACATCCACCTTCACCCCACAATCAATACACACCCGCACATTTGCCACTCCAACAGCTGCTTGATATTCGCTCACGCGACCGCAGCCAAAACCTGATGAACTTTGTGGCGGACGTCGTCATGCACAAATTCCCGGACGTGCGCAATTTCCAGAACGACCTCGTCGCCCTTGACAAGGCTGCAGCAGGTGCATGCACATACACATGCACACACACATACACACACGTATACACACATACACACATGTACTACACACAAACACACAAATATACACATGTGCGGTTTTTGTCTGTTGTCGTCACCTCTCGTTGCTCTGACTTTTCCTGCCTCTGTCTCCCACCACCACGCTCTCATCTCCTCTTCTCCCCTCTCCCCTCGGGCCATCCCAACACCTGCCTCGTCCGTGTGTTCTTTGCCGGCAGTGTCGCTTGCATCGATGGAGGCAGATGTTGTCTCTCTCGAACGCACAGCAACAGCGGTCACTGCTGAGCTGGAAGTCGACGCCACACACCCAACACTCCTCAACTTCAGAGACGCCGTCATGCCCCGGTGGGTGCTCCCCTTCTCGCTATCACCACCACCACCACCACCACCACCACCACCATCTCCTCCTCTTGGAGCGTGATGCGTTCGTCCGTATTGACACCCGCCATTCTGCCATTCTGCCATTCCGCCTGTGTGGGTGTATGCCTGTGACTGTGCATTGGGTGTACCCACTGCCTCTGCCCACGCCCACCGTTCCGCTTGCCCCCCCCCCCCTCCAAACACACACACACACTGGAATGTGTGTCGCTGTCGATCTGTGCTCCGAACAAGTCGTGTTTATTCGCCATCTGGTTTTGCCTTGTCGCTGCTCTGTATCGCTACGACGCTCTCACATCTACCCCCTCCCAACATGTGTGTGTGAACACAGCATCGATGCTGCGCGTGAGATCTTCAACCGAGCCAAGGCGTCGTACTCCCGCGTCACGAAATACTTTGCAGAGGATGTTGCGACCGAGCCGAGCGTGCTGTTTGGCCTCTTCATTCGCCTTCGCCGCTACTTTGAGGTTCGCAACACATACACCATCACGGTTTGCTACACATCCATCATCACACCTTATCATGCACGCGTTGAAGTCGCCTTCATCACTGGTCTCACATTTCTGTGCAATCTACATTGGTGTACCGTGTCTGTATGCGTGAATGTGTCTCTCTGTCTGCCTGACATTCTTCTTTGTGCGTGCGCGCGCGTGTGTGTCTGTGCGTGTGTGTCTGTGTGTCTGTGTGTGTGCGTGTGTGTGTGTGTGTGTGTGTTCCTGCCTACCTTCCTGCCTACCTATCTCTCTGCCTGTGTTCCAAGCGTGCCGTGGAGGAGAATGCAGAGCGCCAGCGGCTGCTTGAGGAAGCGGCGCGGAAACGAAGCGACCAACTGCTGGCGGCGGCAGAGGAGGAGGAGGAGCCCGCAGATACACGTAAACCACAAGGATACATGGAGATCGTGGGCGACAACGCACCAAAGCTGCGCACTGTTGGGGTGTGTATTGGCTCACGTCCTCATCGTGGTGGTCATGGCGTGTACATGTGTGTGTGTGTGTTGGTGTTGGTGTTGGTGCGCGTTCTGGCTTGGATTCACCGTCGGTCTTCCGTCCCCTTTGTTCCTCGATGTGGCTCATATCGTGTCTGCTGCCGTTGCTGTTGCTTGTGAACTGGCTGCTGAGACCACCCTGCTGACTGTTGATCATCGGTTGCGATCCATGTCTGTGTGCTCGCGTCAACTGTGCCTGACAGCTCCGCTCGGAAGTTGGCGATGGCGACATCGATCAAATCATCACCGACATGCGCACCGTTGGCTTCCGGCGCCCAGGCCTCGAGGTCTGCACATACACACACACGTACACACACACACACACATGCACGAGCTTGCATTCATACATGCACACATACGTACACACACGCACGAGCTTGCATTCGGAAACGTGCTCACGCGCAGCTTGCGTGTTCAACTCGCCTTTGGGTCTCTGTGTTATTGCTCGGCTTTCAGCATCACAAAGCCAAGGAGAAGCGAGAGATTGGACAACAAGAAGGGTTTGAGGCGTATACGGCCGCCCGACCGTGGCTCAAATAGGCACGCCTCCCATGACACACCTACACACAACACACGCACACAAACACATACACACACACTCTCTCTCTGTCTCTCTCTCTCTCTCTCTCTCTGTCTCTCTCTCTCTCTCTCTCCCTCTCTCTCTCTCTGTCTGTCTGTCTCTCTCTGTCTCTCTCTCTCTCTCTCTCTCTCTCTCTCTCTCTCTCTCTCTCTGTCTCTCTCTCTCTCTCTCTCTCTCTCTCTCTCTCTCTCTCTCTCTCTCTCTCTCTCTCTCGTTGGTCAGCCCTGCCTCCACTCCCTTTCCCAACCCAACCCCACGAATTGTATCAACGCATACAATGAACCATTTATCTTCTCGCTTCAGACTAGCCGACACTGCTACCTAAGATGCCATTCGAAACGATTATCAGAGATGGCCCACACACACACACACACACACACACACACACACACACACACACACACACACACACACACACACACACACACACACACACACACAGTATGCTCGCTCATTTTCCAGAAACGTCGTCGTCGTCCTCCTTGTTGTGCTGTTGGGCAGCAAGTTCCCGCAACTCTTTGTTTTCCTTTTCGAGCTTGCTATTTTGTTCTCGCAGCTGCTTCATGTCGCGTGAAAGCCTGGCATTGGCCTGTGCTAGCTGCTTCACTCGCACCTCGAGGTCGTGGACATAGGCTTTCTTCTTCATGCGACTTGCCTTGGCTGCTTGTCGATTCTTCTCCAGGCGACGCTTGCGTCGTTCTTCCTCAGTTTCTGGGCTTCTGGGCTCTTCGTCTTGTTCGCCTGGGTCACTGCCACCGGTCGCCTGGTGCAACCATCACACAGCGAAAGCAGGAGCGGGCATGCAACTGGTGAGTTAAACGCGGCGGTAGCCCCATATCGTTCCAATCGTCTCATCTCCCTTGGTGTACATGTGCTTGTGTGTGTGGTACAATCCCTCGTAGCCTCTTCAGGCAACACCTGCACCAGCGCGCACATTCGACAAGACACTACTCATGCACGATAACACCCACCACCGCTAGAACCACTACCACTGACATACGTTGGTCAGTTTTGCTCGCTTCCCCGGGTTATCGGGTTTGGTCGCCTACAAACAACGACGGCATAAGCACGGTCACAAGATCATGGTGCTTCGTCAGCAGAGGCAAGACACAGCACATAAATTAATGCCAGCAGAGACAATGGGAAACAGCATGGAACATGGGCATATCATCGGCGCTCACCGGCATGGAACTCAGCGACGCTAGCGACGCGAGCGACGCAGTTGCTTGAAGAAGGTCAGTTCCCCCAGAAATTGACAGATCCCCCACACTCGACCCGGTGCGCTGCATGCTTTGGCCTCTCTGACTGGTCGACGATGACACTGATCCGCCATTGTGCGCTGCACGTGTGGACGACGGTTGCGCGTTCCTGCTCCCCTTTACCCTAACTCTGCCTCTCCCACCGTCTGCAGTGTTGGCGTCGCTGCGGCCACGCATGAGGCCTGCATCCGGCATCCTCGCACTTGCCTCACCAAAGAGATGGGGTGTCTTTTGCGAGCGCTGCTGCTGCTGCTGCTGCGGACGTAGAAACGAGACTTGCTGATTCTGGCTCATGTCCAAGCCGAGTTGCTGCGATGCTGCCAACTGTTGTTGCCATTGCATGGGCAAGCCCGATGCAAACAGTTGCTGTGTGTCGTGTTGCTGCTGCAGCGCCTGGAACGGCGCGCAGTCATGGAACTGCTGCAAGTCGGGAAGCTGCTGTTGCTGATGCTGTTGCTGGTGGTGGTTTTGATGTTGGTGTTGCTGTTGTGATTGAAGTTGGGCTGGGCCTGGTGTTCGCATGGACATGTTCGAGGAATTCGAAAGGCAAGGGAACTGGAGGTGCTGCTGGAGAAACAATTGAAGCAGTGAGGGCGTCGATACGCTTGGGGCAGTGCCTGGAGCCGGCGAGTTGTTCTCCAGCGTGAGTCCTGTGCTTTGCTGGCCAGACAAAATCCCCCCTGGAGTCAGCCTGTCTTCGGGAGTGCGCGTTGCGCTCGCCAGCCCTGAGGAGCTCCCAGGCAGACCGAGTGCACCCGAGAGTGCATTGCCCCCGCCGCGGAGGGGCACTTGGGAGAGCCCGCCACCCAGGTGGTCTAAAATGGACCCGAGGGATGGTTGCTGCTGGAGAAACGAGCTCAGTGACGTCGCTGCTGCTCCATCCATGACACCAAATTGCTCACGAGCAGACTGCCCGGCTCTCTGCGGAAAAGCCGCTCCGTGCCTTGCTGGTTTCGGACCCTGCTGCTCTCGTTTGGCGGACTTCTGTTGGTTGTTGCTTTGGTGCGACAGATCAGCCTGCTGTCCGCCATCAGCACCACGAGAAAGCCCGACTGGTGGCTCCATGCCTGTACTTGATGGCGCGCGGGCTCGTGACGTGTGACGCTGGCTGCAGGGCAACGACGTTGCGTCCTCTCGCTGCTTTGCTGCTGTTTTGGAGTTGTGGCGCAAGGGCGGCGCGACTGCTGCTGCTGCTGTCGTGCTGCTGTCGTGCTGTTGTTGTTGCCTTTGTGGCTTGGCTCTGCTGTGGGGAAATGGTGACGTACACAGGCAATGCAGGATGACGTGTGGGGTTAACGCTCGTGCCAGGTGAATTTTCTCACCCAGAAAACAACCAATCGTGTTGGAAAACAAAAGGTGCAGTGCTTTGTTCAGACCATAGCGAAATTTCCTGCTCAAGAGCTCGGGCGTCACCACCTGACCCTTTCACCCATTGATAGACGAAATCGCTCTCCACAAACCCACACTCAACTGAATGAAGGCACAGCCCCACCCTGCAGAGCCAGAGATACGCGGTAAGGAAGGTCACATCACACCACGCCAGCACGCGACCCTACACGCCCACAAGGCACATACCAGTTTCAGCCGCCCTGCTTCTATGCACATGCCTGTTGAATGGCCAACTCCTCAACCCGCCCATTATCCTCGAGCTGGCCCCGGCAACAACACTCACACACATCTCTGCACTGTGCTTGCCAACTCCTGTGTGTGCGTTTTTGTCTTGGTTTGTTCGTTCGCGCTTTCGCGCCAACTTGTCCGTCAAGTGGTTATCAGCAGCGGAACGGCTTACTTCACACACGCGCACAGCAGCAAAAGACAATCACCAGCCATGCACGGGCGAGGCACTCCAGCCCTCGCCCTGTTCCTGGTCGTCATCGTCGCCCTGTCCACCACCGCACATGCACTGGAGCCGAAGCTCTTCTTGAACTGTGGCGGAGATGAGACCACGGCAGATGCACACACTTGGCTGTCAGACAGCAGCTTCGTGAGTGGCACTTCAGGCACGTACACCAACCCAGACGGACCGACAGCTCCTCTTGACGGTGCCAACGAGGCGCTTCTCCCTATCTTCAACACGCACAGATACGCCGACAAGAATGAAGCTGGTGATTTTGATCTCGCATACGACCTCAGCCAAGCTTGCGGCAATGGTGTGGCAGTGCTCGACCTTCACTTTGCTGAAGTCTACTACGACGCCGAGGGCAGGCGAGAATTCGACGTCGTCATCAACGATGAGGTTGTCTTAAGCGCTTACGACATCGTGGCGGAGGCCGGAGGTGCTTACAAGCCAGCCATCACGCGTGTGGTGGCGCAGTGCCAAAACAGCCAGCTCGTCCTCAGCTTCAGAAAGATCAAACGACGAGGGCAGCCGGCAATTAGTGGTATAGCGGTGTACGAGTCAGCAACAACACCATCCGGAACCACAGCCGGCACTACGACCACTACAACAACGACTACGACAACGGCGACACTCGATACAACCACAACAACAACCACAACCACCACCACCACGACGAACAAACAAACGACGCTCGATACCACCACCACAACCACCACCACAACGACTACCACGACAGTTGAGGGCACACTGCCGAACGGCACAAGCATCCTGCGCATCAACTGCGGCGGTGATGGATTTGTCGATGCCGACTCTGGCCTGACGTGGGTGGCTGACGAAGGATACTACACGGGCGCATCAAACACGTACGCCAACGACGGACCTGTGGCATCCAGCTACCCGGGGCTCTCTACCGCCATGCTCATCACAGAGCGGTCCTCCCCCAGCCCATTTGACCTGGAGTACACACTGCCGGTGGACACGCCCGGGCAGTATGGCATTGTTTTGTACTTTGTGGAGAAGTACTGGGACTCTGTTGGTGACCGCGTGTTTGACGTGGTGGTCGACGGTGCTGTTGTGGAGGAGAACCTCGATGTGATTGCGGAGGTTGGTACGTTCCGCGTGCACCCTGTGATCGAGGTGGTGTCTGTGGAGGAGCCAGCGACCATCAGTGTGTCGTTTGGGCGTGAGGTGCGTCAGCCCTTTATCAGCGGCATTGAGCTTATCCTGATGAAGGAGTTCACCACCACCACCACAACGACGACCACCACAACCACCACAACCACAACAACCACCACCACGACCACCACAACGACTACCACAACCACCACCACAACCACCACCACAACGACTACCACGACAGTTGAGGGCACACTGCCGAACAGGCACAAGCATCCTGCGCATCAACTGCGGCGGTGATGGATTTGTCGATGCCGACTCTGGCCTGACGTGGGTGGCTGACGAAGGATACTACACGGGCGCATCAAACACGTACGCGCAACGACGGGCCTGTGGCATCCAGCTACCCGGGGCTCTCTACCGCCATGCTCGTCACAGAGCGGTCCTCCCCCAGCCCATTTGACCTGGAGTACACACTGCCGGTGGACACGCCCGGGCAGTATGGCATTGTTTTGTACTTTGTGGAGAAGTACTGGGACTCTGTTGGTGACCGCGTGTTTGACGTGGTGGTCGACGGTGCTGTTGTGGAGGAGAACCTCGATGTGATTGCGGAGGTTGGTACGTTCCGCGTGCACCCTGTGATCGAGGTGGTGTCTGTGGAGGAGCCAGCGACCATCAGTGTGTCGTTTGGGCGTGAGGTGCGTCAGCCCTTTATCAGCGGCATTGAGCTTATCCTGATGAAGGAGTTCACCACCACCACCACAACGACGACCACCACAACCACCACAACCACAACAACCACCACCACGACCACCACAACGACTACCACAACCACCACCACAACCACCACCACAACGACTACCACGACAGTTGAGGGCACACTGCCGAACAGGCACAAGCATCCTGCGCATCAACTGCGGCGGTGATGGATTTGTC